TTATATTGTTTTTTAGCCTTTAGAAACTTTATATTCCTAATTAATATCTGCATTTAATATGCCTATTAACTTTTCACTTGTGTCTCATATAAGAAGGGCACACTAGGTTAAAGTTTCTATTTCTATAGTTGGACAAATGTTATCTAATTTTTTGTACTAGAAATAAGTATAATTTTGTAATTTTAAAATGATGGCTAGCTTCTTTCCTACTTTGTTTCACATGGGCAAAACCATTGTCACATAAGTGTTAGACCAATTCTAAATAGAAAGTGGTTCCTGTTGCAACAATACATATAAACCTTAGTGATCAAACCCTCCTGGGATGAAATTAAAAATATTATGATTGGATGCTTACATCATCTACTGCTTACTTAATGTAAATCACATAATACTTACAGTAGGTTTGAGGGACTTTTTTCATGAATATGATAGGAATTTCTTGGAGGAGTGTGCTATGTTTTGTACTATCTGCATAGCCTTTGTAATAGGTCAATACTCTCTGGAGAAGGAAGAATTTTTCTTGTTTTTCTAAACCACAGAAAAGGGAGTTGAGTTGACTGTTTCCACGAGATGGACAGAGGCTCTTAAGGCCCTCAGACAGCAAGCTGGTCAAAAATGTCACCTCACATTCTTCTCGCCATAGAAATGTCCACCCAGCCATGTCAAAGAGGCCTGGTTATAGCCCTACCTTTCTGTCAGTGCTTGGGCTGGCAGTCAGCTCTTGATTATTGGCTGGCTGAAGTCTCTCTGTAACAGATGAGTGCTAAATAGACAGTTGATATTTATTAATAGAAAAATGAAAATCATTAGTGAGCATTGCTGGAAGAGGCAGTTGAACACACAGACTGGATTCTGCATGTGTTCGGATTTTATGGAAAAATCTCAGAAAGGTCATGTTTTTCTGATGTTCCGTATCATTTTCCAACATTTTTTCAAGATCATTACCTCAACTCAGTTTTACTCTTCCAATTTTCTTCTACATTCTCCATGATGCAACTGAGTTCATTGTGAGGTGGAAGCAGGCATTCCAAATACAGTCTCAAAGCCCCAACAGACGACTTGTTATAGTGCATTCATGCTGTCCTTAAACAAAAAAATCATTGTTTAATAAAACAGAAAAATTTCAACAATGTGTATGAAACAAAGTAGGTTTCTGTGTAAATCTAATTGGTGAATGCTTTCTTTGATATGGTTTTCATACACTGAAATAGGGTGGTAAGGCTAGTTGAGTCAGGCAGTTATGATTGTTTTATTTCTTCCTTTTCAGTACTGATATTCTTTTAACAAAGTTCATAAAATGTTTTGCAACTGTATTCAAAAAACCATTGATGTTGACATTTTCTTTTAATTTGATGAATCTTGGGAGAACTTGATCAGATCCTTTATTTCAGTGCTTACTTACCTAACTTGTTGTTTATTGGCTAAATTGTCTTCTTCCAGGGAAGATAGGACTTGGGATTTCATGGACCACAGCAATGGCCTAAAGTGAATAAATAGTTCATTCTTGCACCTGATCGCACTATTTCTGCAAAGACAAAAAATGGCACATTAGCTATTAGTAATAAGATCAGATGACCATAAAGATTTTAAAGTTGTATTTCTAGCTCCATCTCTGAACTATGACTTGATAAAAAGTCATTTCATTATTATACTTTGATTTTTTCATTTTGGCTGTATTGTGTTATTTGTGGAGAATCATATAAATTATTTAAGTTATTGGGGTAGGTTTTGTCATATAGCTGCTGTGTTTAAAGGTCTGTCATATTGGCCGTGGTTAAATTGATTTTGTGTATTCATGGGCTGTGTTCCACTTAAATTCTATTATTTATGCCTTTGAATTATTTATCATCAAGACTAAGACTCTTGAACCTAATTGTGAACGAGAAAGTAGCATAATTCAGGAAAATAAAAACTTAGAGAAAACCACAAGAAAAAAAATCATAGAGATACCCTACACTTTGCTCATATGAATCTTGAGTTCTCCAGAGCTGCAAATCTCACCAAAAGACATTGCCCAGAGACAAGGGATGTGGAATTGTAAAAGATACATCCTCTGTAGTGTACAGAAGCAGCCATTAAAATGTGGCTTTTCAAGCCATAAGCATTATCTTGATGTGAGAACTCATTAAAAATTCAAATTTTGTGGCCCTTCCGAATCAGAAGGTGATTCAAGATACCGTGTGCTTTTACAAGTCCCTCAGGTGATTACGATGCTTAAGTGTGTGATACACTGGTTGGTGTAAGGCTGGAGAATCACCTTAGCCGGCACCAAACTTACCACTAACTAAACATCAAATATGTTATTGCTGTATCCCGAGACTATAGACAACCTAGTAAGATCTGAGGATAATTTTTCCATTGTTGTTTATTTGCATTGTAAAAAATTAATCAACTTTATTTTTAGAGAAGCTTTAGGCTCATAGCAAAATAAAATGGGAAGTATATACAGCTCCTGTATATACTCTGCTCACCCCCAGCTCTAGAGGGCTTACGATCTCTCCCACTATCAATATCCTGCATCAGAGATGTACCTTTGTGACAAGAGGTGAACCTGCACTGGCATACCATCACCCACAGCCCATAGTTTACATTAGGCTTCACCCTTGATATATGTTCTTTGGGTTTCTTAGTAATATGCACTTAAATATGCTCTGATTGTTTATTTTAGGCTTGATGGCTGAATTTCTTTTCAGTGCTGGATAGTTTTCCAATGTCTGGATGTGTCATGGTATATTTATACACTCAATAACTGGGGACAATATGGTTGCTTCCAAGCTTTCTTGTTCTTGGATTCAATCCAGTTGATTAAATTCAACTATGCTCTCATTAATTTTCTACTTGCTGGATCTGTCCATTTCTGATAGAGGGTGTTAATATCTCCAACTATGATACAGGGATCATCTGTGTCTGATTACTGTTTATTTGTTTTTGTGTTATATATTTTGTCCCTCTATTAGTGTATATATACATATTAAAGATTGTTATGTCTTTTTTTTAGAGCTGACCCCTTATCATTATGATTTATTTCTCTTTTTCCTTGATAACTTTTTTTGTCTCAAATGAACATAATGTACTTCACACTTTCAAAAAAATCACTGTTAGTATATTTTTCTCCATCCTTTTACTATAAGTTTGCATGTGCCATTATATTAAAAGTGGATCTATCATAGAGAACAGAGAGTTGATCTTGTTTTTTGACCCAGTGTGACAATCTCTGTCTTTCATCAGTATATTTAGACTATTAACATTCAGTGCTATCACTGATATAGTTGAATTAATATCTAGCACATTTGTTATTGCTTTCTATTTGTTGCTCTTTCTCTTTGTTACTGTTATGTCTTTCATAGATTTTCTAACTTTTTGGTTTTATTTGAGCATTAAATTTTTTTCTATACATTTTATTGCAGATCACTGTGCTATAAAAACAAAATGAGACCATTCTTGATGTGTCCTCTTTGTGAACTTATTCATTTAAATAAAGACATATGACACATCATAAAACAGGTAACTATAAATCTACTCCAAAAACAAATCAGTGAAGAAATATTTACAGTATTTGGTGACCCTGAGCCTAGCATCATAGACCAAAAATAAGATCTCTGTCTTCACAGAACATATGGGTCAGTGGATATCACCCAATGATCTAGTGACTACCTTAAAATTTTTATAAATATTGGGAAACAAATTTCTTTGGGCACTGTTTATTCTTGGCTTTTCAGAGACTTATTGATTCAAGTGTGATTAGTATGGGTGTTTTTTTAGTTCATAAAGGTTTGGGGTGCAGTACAAATATAGGCTAATCAGAAATGACTAGGGAAACTTTAATAAAGATAAATTCACTCAGAAATCTTGGAAATCAGTCTTATTTTGAATTAGCATGTTTTAGTTAAAAGTACAGAAACAGTCAATAATTAATTAAGAATTTCTATGTAATGCCTCCCATGCCAAGTGACCACTGACATGCTGTTTCCAATTGTGGTGACTCTTTGATTTGAGATAGAAGGCATAAAAATTATTGCTAGCTATAAAATAAACTTTATTTCACTTTATTTCATTCCTCAATTTGAGATAGAAGATATAAAAATATTTCTAGCTATAATATTGCCACTGTGTGTGCTCTCAGAAGAAAAATCTTGTTTCTTTAATATAAGAGATTCACTGACTCAAATGAATGTTAATTAAAGACAGTTTAAGTAAGACCGGGGAAAATAAAATCTTTAAATATATAGGAAGCTTATGAAAGAATTCATCATCATAATGAAGAAAGGATTTTCCAATAGCCCCATTTCCATGAATGATATTTTTATAAGCCTGAACCAACTTCTCTAATAGATATTAGGAACCTATCATAGGTACCAACCAACTCACCTCCATTCCAACTTGAAAGGTTGCTGCAAATTGCTGACATTCTTCCTCGGCTGGTGAAAGAAAAGTGACTCCAAATGCACTGGATTCTTTTGCCGTGGTGTGCTGTGGCTTTATTTCAAAAGAACTTTTGCTGCTAACAATTATTACTCATCCTCTATATGAGAGAAGTTTCAAATCATTACTAAGATTTACATTAGTTAACATTTCAGTAATCACATCAATCTCTTTTTCACCAAGTTTTCCTAATTTCATCAATATAATTAATTTCTCTCTGATTAAACAGTTTGAGAACATCATTTTGCAAGAACAATTTTTGTCCCTTCTCAGTACCAGCTGTGCCTCAAACTTTTGAGCCATATTCTCTCACTGTTTGTTATGTTCTTCCTAATCCAAGTCCTTCACCAGCCCCATGAACGAAAGCCCTTTCTCCAGGCCTCACATGGCCACCGTGGAGTAGAGTTCCACAGGCAAAAAGTATGCAATACTAATGGCAACATCTTGTTTGAGGTCCAGTTTTCAAGCAGTGTGTAGACAGTGTGAGCTACTATGAGAGCTTGCTTATTCTAACCTCTGAGATTGTGATGGTAGTAAAGCCTCTGTGATCTTTCTTGGAAGCAGATACCTTATCTCCAACAGGTTCCATTAACCCAGTCATGTCAGAACAAGATACGTGGGGTAAAAGCAGTTTTCTACTATAAGCACCAGAACCATATATGTCTCCACTGGGTTTACACTGTATAGGTGGACTTTGATTAGATTCTGATGGTCTTTGGGAAACCTGTACTGTAACATCCAAGTGGAGTTTCTTTGGTTCTGGTCTACCCAGTTCAAAAGCTCTAATAGCTTTCAGCAGTTTCTGTTCAGTTGCCATGAAGATCTAGATAACGCTTCTAGAGTAGGAGGAACCACAGTCCGCCGGGCTGTCTTCAGACTCTACAGGAAAAGTAAGCAGGCCAGCTTTCTGGAACTTTTGCTTTATTTGAGCATTTTATATACTTCCCTTTTTCTCATTTTTAAAAAATATGAATTATACCTCCTTTAAGGAAAAAAAAAACCTTTTCTTAGCTATTGTCCTAGAGTCTGTAACACACATTTCCAACTAAAGAAGCTCACCTTCCGGTCCTCAGTCTCTCTTACTTCTAACATCCCGCTGGCCAAAGAAAACCACGTAAGTGAGGTGGGACACTGCAATCAGTACTCTGTATCTATGGATCCCACAGCTACAGATGAAAAATATTCCAAAAAAATTGCATCTGTATTGAACATGTGCAGATTTTTTCTTATCATTATTCCTTAAACAATGTAGTACCACATCTTTCATGTAGCAGTTACATTGTATTAGGTATTATAAGTGATGTAGAGATTACCTAAAATATATAGGGGCATGTGTAGGATTACATACAAATATTACCCTATTATATATAAGAGACCTGAAATCTGTGCATTTTGGTATCTTTGGGGTATCTTGAAACCAATTTGCTAAGGGTAACAAGGCACAACTCTTGTCTTCTTGTTGGAAGAAACTGTGAAATATTTATGTTAGAGGGAAGTGGTATATA